GTCACAATTGGCAAGGGTTTTAAAAACTTTTCCCCAAACATTTCTAATTTGTGAGTATTGGTTCCATAAGAAGTTGGAAATATTGATTTTTTTATTGTTTGAAAATAAATCGGGACTTTTGGTTATGAACATTCATTCTGTGCGATTTTTATTATTTGTTGTTAATGCATTTGTGAGGTAAGAATATCAAAGAATTAATATATTTTAATAATTATTTTAATTACTATAAGGTTTTAGAACTAACTGAACCTGGAATATTGAAGCTGGCAATAGAATAAGACAAGGAGATTCCCAAAATCATCTAATATTCAGCCCGATTTTGGATGGAATAATAAAAAAAAAATAAGAACTAAAAAAGGATACCAAATGGGAGAGAACCAGCTTAAAATAATCAGATGACGCAAAACTACTTTCTCAGAGTAAAGATTATTTACAATGTATGCTTCACTAATTTAATATAACTGCCAGAAAATTTAACATGTTAATTTCCCGAAAAAGACAAAAATGCGTGGTTATAACAGCAAATTTTCTAAGATGTAAATTGGAGCTGGAAGGCCAGATAATAGAACAAGTGATGAAGTTTAAATATGTAGGCATTACATTCATTAGCAGAGATGAAAACACTTAGAAAAATTGATGGTAAGACACAATGGGGCAGAGATGCAAGTAAGTAAGAAATAGAAGAGTAGAATGGAACGAATATATAAGCCGAATGACAACAAATAATAGAGTAGTAAACAAAGCAAGAGTTGGTTCCCCAATAGAAAGACGATCGGTAGGAAGGCTACGTAAACGGTGGAATGATAATGCACTGGAGGTACATTTAAAACCAGATAGAGTCATGTCTACATAAACAAAGATAAAAAAGTATCTGAAAATCTGCTGGTACAAATCAGAGGTCTGAGTACATAGAACTCCTGCATATATGTCAACAGGAAATTTCGTTAAATGTACTGCTCGATGTTATGATACTGTTAACGCTGATGTTGAAGCTTGTCTTGACAATGTAATCACTTTTAAGGACTGTTTCCAAATAAGTGATGGGAACGCTCTTCGTGGTTTTATCCATGCTGCTTAATGGTCTTTTTCCTACATGCTGGCAAGGAATTAAAAATACAATTCTCATATGGGAAGATGCCTAAAAAGATGCCTATTCGAAAAAACTTTCGCCTCATTTAATATTTCGGGAAGTATTCTCGCATGAACAAAATTCTAGTGAACCTACTGAGTTATTTGTTTCTCATATTCGAGCTTTGCTTGCACAATTACCGTATTCCCTAACTGAAGAGGTTCGATTGGATATAATTTATGGCTTAAAGGTACGTAAACTACAAAAAAGGCTACAAATAAATAAATTTCAAATCATGAATTAAATAATAAATAATCTTAAATAAATTTCAAAATTTTAAGGAACTTTTAATAGAATATCGAGAAAATGAATCATCCTCGAACGTATTTATGAAGTTCGAATCGTTCTATAATGCCCCTTTGTCCTCTTCTCTCGATCGACGATGACTAATACAATAAAACGTTGAAGTTGTAGAGTAAAAATTCTGATTTATTTAGCTATTACACTGTATGATGTTGGTTAGGTAACTACTTATAATAAACTGCGCTCACATGAGCTCAAATCCCCAATTTATAATATCACAAATAATGTATACCTCATCACAGACGTTATGGCTTTTATCATACTAACAAACTTTGAACTATGAGCTTACAATACAATTTAATCTAGACCGTAATTGCAACAATTGGGAAGTTCAATTGGAAAATATATTATTCGACAATTTATTAACAGGTGAATGTACTTTAATTATTAAAATACTACTCGATATAGTTTTACAATGTCTCAATTATACACGGAGAAACTATAAAAGATTAATAAGGTAATATTAAGATTAATATTAAGATTAATAAATTAATATGATATTAATAAGAGAAGCAGACGACCAATAGAAAATAATCTAAACACATATAAAATATAAAATAATAATAATATAAAAATAATCATAACACTAATTCACTCGGTTTTTGAATTAATATTTCACCCGAGCAGTGCTACCTATAACTTGAATATTTAGAATTTATGATTCTATCTAATTCAAATCTAAGCTCATTAAGTGAAACTGATCTAGGAGGGGCTTTCTTTAACGTTTTACTTAAATTTGGTTGTGATATTGTATGTCTTCGAGGCGCTGGATTAGGTTGGATGCAAGAACCTTGATGCCTTTGTTTTCTGGCTCTCTTCGAGTTTCGAAAATATCTGACTACCTTCCATATAATGACAATCAACATAACAATGAATATAGTGACTAGTCCCGTGGTTAAATGAGGAATCCACTGTTGGTTAGCAATGGTTGTTCCACATGTGTTCGGATATATCTTGGTTAAACTGCTCTGCCTCAAGTACAATATTTGGCAACTCATCTTCCCGAATATCTGTATTATGTCTGGGAATGTTGTTCTGCTTTATGATTGGCCTTTGCATAAGCTCTTTAACGGAACTGACTGGAGTCATTAAATAACTTTCAATTGCTGTTTCCAATCCATTACTGGATGTGAGTAATGTTATGTTTCGAGTCTGAACAACGCATTTTACCTCAACACAGAGGTTATTGCTTCTATCATACTAACAAACTTTAAACTATGAGCTTACAATACAATTTAATCTAGGCCGTAATTGCAACACTTAAGGGATTAAGTGATTAATTTGTGAATGAACATCCTTAAAAGAAGGTTTAGTAACTAACGACTGTGATAGTCGACCAAATTAAGAAAAGGACTCTTGAAAAAGAAAATTTAGACCAAATGTATATTTTGTGAACGTTTTGGCCATATTCAGTCAGAATATGGCCAAAACGTTTACTATACTACTTACTATAGTAGACTAAACAATCGATGATTTCTAATTCTAATGGTTCAGTTAGCATATATGTACCTCCTAGTTGTTTACATACGAATCCTAGCACTGCAAATGTACCTTCTCAACGTTCTTCTACTGTATTTTGTTATGGGTGCAATATGTTACGGTTATGTTTGCACAAATTGTCCCAACTGTAAAATTTCTGTAAATCCTATTACCACAGAAGCAGCCTCTTGTGTAGAGCTTCTTTTAAGAGAAACTAACAATTTGAATAATCGTCCCCTTTTTACCAAAAGTGTCTTAGGTTTGAGTGGTATGTTGATACTGGAGCTAAATATACTATAGCTGAAATTAGCTTTACAAATATTTTTTAAACAATGGTCTCCACTAGGTTTAAGAAAACAAGTTTAATGTTTACTGACGGTGTAAGCAGCACGGTATAAGCTAGTATTTTTGAATGTTTGGTTCTCCTTTTACATAGATCCGTACCTACAACTTTTGTTGAATTTTCTGAGTACGCATCGGTTAAAACTTCTCTTGGGATAGACTTTTTAAAAAATACTGACATTATTATTACGGAACCTAACATCTTCAATGCTTCAATTAATCTTCTTAAACTTACTTTACGACAGAACCAATCTTTGCAGTTAAATACTTGTCAGCGTAGCACTTTACAATGTTTGATAAATCAGTACAATTTTTACAGAATTTTTACGGAACATAATGAACCCACACCATTTGCTGAGTATTGTATTAACTTAACCAGTGATATTCCAATTGATGCGCCTCCTTACAGAACAAGTCAGAAAGCGGAAATACTGAAAAATGAAATCCATGATTCTCAACGAAATAACTGTACCAGAAGGTATCCTTTACCGAGGATGAATGAAGTTCATATGCACTTGGCGCATGTCTTCTCCAGGGGGAGGTAGAAAATGAAAAGCCGATAGAGTATGCAAGTTGCTTACTTACATCGACTGAACGTAACTATAGTACAACAAAGCGAGAAGCTTTAGCTGTAGTATATGTAATTAATAAATTCCGGGGTTACATAGAAAGTTGACCTTTTATTGGTAAAACAGAGCATCAACCACTAAAATGGTTAATGTCACTAAAATCTCCTACTGGCCATCTTGCTAGATGGTCACTGGAAGAGCAAAGTTACGACTTACGAATTTATTGTTCCTAGACGAACGAATTATATCGCCGATATGTTATCAAGGCCTATCTGTGGTCCAGATATGAAAGATATTTGTGACCTCTGTACAGTCGCAATGGATGTATTAATGATAAGCAATAAAAAACGTAGAGATGAACAGTTCACTGACTCACAGCTTAAAATAATTATTTATTGCCTTGAATCTTAAGAACCCGAATTGGTAGACATCGACCGATAGACCATGACCTCTACGTACTGCTTGTATTATTTCGTCCATTATTATATTAAAGAAAAGTGGGCCTAACGAGTCACCCTGTCTGACTCCGCTTTGAACTATTATACACTGTGTGAACATTGCGTACGCTACCGCTTTTTCTATGGTCTTATAGAGATTTTCACTAACGCCCTGCTGTTCTACATTCTCTACGAGATTCTTTGAAGTGAGTCCAGTAGTAGAGAGGATCATTTCTGAGCAGAGGATCAGAATTTACCGAAGGAGAAACAACTTTTAACTAAACCAGATATATAAGGACCCGGATATCGTAATATTTATTAAAATAAGACAGCTGCGTTAGATGGGATATCTAAAAATAATGAAAAATGGCGAAATACCAAACAAAATAAGCAAACAAGTACCAGTAGGAAAAGAGAAAGAGGGAGACCTAAGATGAGATACACAGAACAAATAGAAAATGATATAACAACCTTAATTATAGTAAAAATGGAAAAAAAGCACGAAATAACTTAGAATGGAGCTGTTTCGTCCTGGAACAGACCAAGCAACAAGGGTTATCGAGCCAGTGATAACGATAATAAGCAGATGTCTATCCAAAATACATGTTGCCTTGTGCTTAACAGCTCTGTCGTACTTGGCGTTGTATTTACGATGCAGATCATAATTAACAGGTATCGATACATAAAGACACTATCTGATTATATGATGATATTACGGAAAAAAGCATAATACTAGTCAGATATCATTAAAATTTTTTAGTTATTTTACGACCTTCAGAATTTAAAAAAACTTAAGTTTCATTGCAAAGCAGAAGGAACAACAAATTGTTACATCTAAAATATTTTGCTATAAGCTTAGATTATATCCCAACAACAGTATTATAATGATGAAATGTTTTGTTTTACAGTTCTATGCGAAGAAGTCTCAGTGAAATGCATCCAAGCTGTTCCGAAGACGGAGCAACGTAATACTGACTTGCGTTTTGTTGTAAAAACTGTTTAAAAAGTGTATGATATATATTAAAATAAATAAAACATGTGTGATCTAACGTCTTAATTTATTTCATAAAATGAAGGCTTTTATTCAAAAGTTAGGAACATATATTGATAATGTGAGACAAAATATTGAATTAATAACAATTTCTGAATATTTAATATAATGTCGAAACCTTTATGCGAAATGTCTTATTATATACCTACATCGAAATGAAAAACTGTTCAGAAGACACAAAAACTTTCTGAAGCTTTCTAGAAATTGAAATTTTGTTATGTTTTTGTTGAATAATTTTAACATCATTTCTTTATTTTGTAACAATTATTATAAACTCAAATTAACGTTGGAGCCAATTGTTTCGACTTCGACTAGTGCTAGTCTTCTCAAGTATACCCAAGTTCGTATCAGGATACTATCTAATCATAATTATAGTAAGTACCCTAAAAAATATATAAAATTAAATTTTGTAACACGATTTGGTGTGACAGGATGCTGTCAATAGACTACCTAAGCTCTGACGTCACAATTGGCAAGGGTTTTAAAAACTTTTCCCCAAACATTTCTAATTTGTGAGTATTGGTTCCATAAGAAGTTGGAAATATTGATTTTTTTATTGTTTGAAAAATAAATCGGGACTTTTGGTTATGAACATTCATTCTGTGCGATTTTTATTATTTGTTGTTAATGCATTTGTGAGGTAAGAATATCAAAGAATTAATATATTTTAATAATTATTTTTAATTACTATAAGGTTTTAGAACTAACTGAACCTGGAATATTGAAGCTGGCAATAGAATAAGACAAGGAGATTCCCAAAATCATCTAATATTCAGCCCGATTTTGGATGGAATAATAAAAAAAAAATAAGAACTAAAAAAGGATACCAAATGGGAGAGAACCAGCTTAAAATAATCAGATGACGCAAAACTACTTTCTCAGAGTAAAGATTATTTACAATGTATGCTTCACTAATTTAATATAACTGCCAGAAAATTTAACATGTTAATTTCCCGAAAAAGACAAAATGCGTGGTTATAACAGCAAATTTTCTAAGATGTAAATTGGAGCTGGAAGGCAGATAATAGAACAAGTGATGAAGTTTAAATATGTAGGCATTACATTCATTAGCAGAGATGAAAACACTTAGAAAAATTGATGGTAAGACACTATGGGGCAGGAGATGCAAGTAAGTAAGAAATAGAAGAGTAGAATGGAACGAATATATAAGCCGAATGACAACAAATAATAGAGTAGTAAACAAAGCAAGAGTTGGTTCCCCAATAGAAAGACGATCGGTAGGAAGGCTACGTAAACGGTGGAATGATAATGCACTGGAGGTACATTTAAAACCAGATAGAGTCATGTCTACATAAACAAAGATAAAAAAGTATCTGAAAATATGCTGGTACAAATCAGAGGTCTGAGTACATAGAACTCCTGCATATATGTCAACAGGAAATTTCGTTAAATGTACTGCTCGATGTTATGATACTGTTAACGCTGATGTTGAAGCTTGTCTTGACAATGTAATCACTTTTAAGGACTGTTTCCAAATAAGTGATGGGAACGCTCTTCGTGGTTTATCCATGCTGCTTAATGGTCTTTTTCCTACATGCTGGCAAGGAATTAAAAATACAATTCTCATATGGGAAGATGCCTAAAAAGATGCCTATTCGAAAAAAACTTTCGCCTCATTTAATATTTCGGGAAGTATTCTCGCATGAACAAAATTCTAGTGAACCTACTGAGTTATTTGTTTCTCATATTCGAGCTTTGCTTGCACAATTACCGTATTCCCTAACTGAAGAGGTTCGATTGGATATAATTTATGGCTTAAAGGTACGTAAACTACAAAAAGGCTACAAATAAATAAATTTCAAATCATGAATTAAATAATAAATAATCTTAAATAAATTTCAAAATTTTAAGGAACTTTTAATAGAATATCGAGAAAATGAATCATCCTCGAACGTATTTATGAAGTTCGAATCGTTCTATAATGCCCCTTTGTCCTCTTCTCTCGATCGACGATGACTAATACAATAAAACGTTGAAGTTGTAGAGTAAAAATTCTGATTTTATTTAGCTATTACACTGTATGATGTTGGTTAGGTAACTACTTATAATAAACTGCGCTCACATGAGCTCAAATCCCCAATTTATAATATCACAAATAATGTATACCTCATCACAGACGTTATGGCTTTTATCATACTAACAAACTTTGAACTATGAGCTTACAATACAATTTAATCTAGACCGTAATTGCAACAATTGGGAAGTTCAATTGGAAAATATATTATTCGACAATTTATTAACAGGTGAATGTACTTTAATTATTAAAATACTACTCGATATAGTTTTACAATGTCTCAATTATACACGGAGAAACTATAAAGATTAATTAAGGTAATATTAAGATTATTATTAAGATTAATAAATTAATATGATATTAATAAGAGAAGCAGACGACCAATAGAAAATAATCTAAACACATATAAAATATAAAATAATAATAATATAAAAATAATCATAACACTAATTCACTCGGTTTTTGAATTAATATTTCACCCGAGCAGTGCTACCTATAACTTGAATATTTAGAATTTATGATTCTATCTAATTCAAATCTAAGCTCATTAAGTGAAACTGATCTAGGAGGGGCTTTCTTTAACGTTTTACTTAAATTTGGTTGTGATATTGTATGTCTTCGAGGCGCTGGATGAGGTTGGATGCAAGAACCTTGATGCCTTTGTTTTCTGGCTCTCTTCGAGTTTCGAAAATATCTGACTACCTTCCATATAATGACAATCAACATAACAATGAATATAGTGACTAGTCCCGTGGTTTAAATGAGGAATCCACTGTTGGTTAGCAATGGTGTTCCACATGTGTTCGGATATATCTTGGTTAAACTGCTCTGCCTCAAGTACAATATTTGGCAACTCATCTTCCCGAATATCTGTATTATGTCTGGGAATGTTGTTCTGCTTTATGATTGGCCTTTGCATAAGCTCTTTAACGGAACTGACTGGAGTCATTATAATAACTTTCAATTGCTGTTTCCAATCCATTACTGGATGTGAGTAATGTTATGTTTCGAGTCTGAACAACGCATTTTACCTCAACACAGAGGTTATTGCTTCTATCATACTAACAAACTTTAAAACTATGAGCTTAC